GCCACAATAACTCAAAACTAGTTTCTAAAAAATAAGGTAAAAGTGCTTGCATGGCCCAGCCAATGTCCTGACGTGAATCCCACTGACAATTTATGGAGGATTTTAGAATTGTGGGTCCATCAAACAGACTATTGTAGCTTTGGGGCATTGAAGACAGTTTGCCAAGAGAAATGGACCAAAACAGAACCAAATGCTGCAAAGCTGTAATTGCCAACACCGGCTTTGCACCAAAGTACTAATGCCTTTAACTTGTGGATATTTTTTCCTATCAATTTTGTTTTTTAAATGTGTCTTTGTTCATTCTTATGGTTACATACATTTTTGCTCATATTTATAAGTATAAAGTCAAAAGACATTATGTATGTACATTTGAAGTGGATATATGCTCTGGAAGTATACTAAATAACAAAAGGTGTCTGAATACTTGTTCTTCCTTAATAAGTCACCTCATAGACCCTTCTTACACACATACACACACACACACACACACACACACACACTTAGAGTAGCTGCAGTTGGTATGTGTCTTCCTCGTAGTTGCACTAGACTGAGCAGTGTGCTGTTGGATGGTAAACTGGACATAAATCTAGAAACATCAAAACATCAGACTTCAGAGGTTGTGAATGCTTTCAACTGCTTTCAAAAACTTATTTATTTACCACCCATATGGGTGTCAGAGAGGTGCATGCAGGCTGTTTTATGTAAGTAGGCCTATTCAATAAGTTGCAAAATGGTACCCAAATAAACCTTTTTTTTTCAACATTAGATATAAAATGTCAGAAGACACATGTAGGTTTACATCAAGTTTCAATTTTGAATAGCAAAGCTATATTTGCATTGCAGACCTCAGTTCAGTTTCTATCACCACCATTGCAAAGAAATCGGGGTCAGTGTTTTTCTCTTAAACTGAATTATGATGAAATTTACAGAAATTAGGGGGCTTTTCCTATAACAAATTGTTCATATGGCAGCATAAACCTATTACTGAATGCTGAAAAGGTTCATGTCAGCATTTGTTTTAGTAAAGCAGAGAGCAAACTAGAGAAAGGAAAGCTGAGGGGAAACACGTGAGCCTGTTCAGGACAACTTCACAGCTGCAGTGCCAAGGTAATCCAAAGGTAATTAGACAGTATGTCAACGATCAGATATTTAGTTGTAAAGTTTATAATCAATACTGGAAGACATTTCTTAAGTAATCTAACTCTGTAATTATAACAGTCTAGAACAGTTTCATTTGAGCTGTAGTACATGCTAACTCCAGGTGACAAAGTGCCCTCCATTTCATCTGTTCTGAACTCTCCTGTGAAACTTCAGTGGGGTCTGCTAAACTCTCCTGTGGTCTGCAAGCTGACTGCTGGTCTGACAGAGATTGCTGCTGTAGCTCTGTTATTGATCCACTGTTCTGCTGTAAAATATGAATCTAAATGTTATATCTATGCATTGTTTAAGGTTTATATGCTATATTAATGCTCATGTGCCTCTATGGATCATTGTTACAGCAGGGCTTTTAAAGAAATGTATTTAACCAGTACATACTAACGAATGGCACAAATTCAAATACAAAGCCAAAGTAAGAGGTAAAATGTCAGTCATTCTGTCACTGTACTGAGGATTTTGGGTTCAGAGATTCCACATTTTTAGACATACAAACTGTTCAATTCACCTAAAATGGCAGGTTCTAAAACTGACATCTAATTAGGCCTATAGGATCTAAATATAGTCTTATACTCAGATTTTGATTCAGGCAATATAACAATGAAATATCTACGTTTCATGGTTAGGAATTTATCTATCATAGCAAAAGGTACCATCTGTATGACAGAAGAGTGCACAGTCTTGCCATTCTGTTTTGTGTCATTGTCTTTTCCTCAGCTTGGCTGTTCATCTTCAGCCTTAAGGTAAAGTGTTCCTGTCATGACAGAATTCACCACCATCTTTTATTTATACTTTGCAGATATAAACTTTTACTCAAAAGAGAGAGAGAGAAAAAAAAAACAAAGACATGGACAAAATAATGGAAACATGACTCTCAGGGAGTCCTCATGTCTGTTACCTTTTGGCTCTCCCTTTTAGTTAGGCTGTAATAGCTTGACCTGCCAGAATCACTGCTGCTCTCTGTTAACACTATATACTGTTTTTAGTCTCTCTTAACAGAACTAACTGTCTGTGTGTTTCTTTGCCGAGCTAAACAACCGCCCATTCTGTGCGGTCTGATGCTGTTGCTTTATCTGCATTGATCAGGTACCCACTGCCTGCCCAGCTTCTGGACCAGTCTGACCACCATGGAGCTTCCTGCTCTAAAACGCTGTGTAAATATAACCTGCACGCCATTGACCCTCCTGATGATACTGTGGCATTTCTTAACCAAAGACATTGCTTTTCCTGCTTTTCCCCTTTTCTTTATCTTATACTGATGGTCACACTTTATTCTCTGCTGTTATTGTTTTGCTATCCGGTGTTGACCACGGGAGGATTGGTTCTCCTTTTAAGTCTTGGTTCCTCTCAATGTTTCTTCCTCTTGCTCTTAGGGTATTCTTCCTTGCCACTATCTCCTTTGACCTGCTCATGGGGGCTTGGACCCAGATTTTTTTCTGTAAAGCTTCTTTGCGACAACGCATGTTGTAAAAAGTGCTATATAATTAAACTTTTACTTGACTTGACTCTAAAGTAGCTAAATCTCAATTACAAAGCTATGTGAGCTTTAATTGAATAAGCAACAGCTAGACAGGTAACAGCTAACAGAGCTGGAAATGGCAAGTAACAGGTGCAGCTGCATCGCTCACAAAAAGTGTAAAATCATACAAATACTTAGGGAAGTCTTGAGGCCAGTATACACTAGACTGAACTGTGAATGCAACTAGAAAGTAAACTAAATAAAACTACAGAATTGCATTGGGCCACCTCAACCAATCTCAACCAGTCTCAACCAAAACTAAAAAGGACTTGCACTGGTCAGTTTGTAGGCTTAAATGAAATCCCCCACTGGTGATTAGGACTGGAAATAACGATACCCAATGATAATATCCAATAATAATAACCTAACAACAAGAACAACAAGAACTTCAACAACAACATGTTAGATTCTTGTTCTTTACCCGAATGTTGAATATAACAAGACATCAATAGAAAATTAATCATGATTATATTTCTCTGTAAATCACTCCGTCTTCTCTGTTGAATGATCTTGACTTTGAAGAATCAAGTAATCAATCGTTTACCTACGTCATAATCCACCACTTGTGTCACAGTATGCGTTAAAACCCTGTTGTGTTTTAGTCCACACGATGGCGCCAGAGTGTCAATATAAAGCTTAACAACAGTTCACTACGGTGTGAAGAAAACATTTGATGATATGAAAAGTTGAGTTTAAAGTCACATGAGTAGAAGTTTGTGTACGCACAGTGTACATAATATCTCACATAAAAACTTAGCAGTAAAGTTGGTTTTATGTTGGATATTTGCTGCATATTCGACTTTCTCTCTTCAGTTGTCAATGGAATAAACGTGGAAAAATGCTCACACCTACATTCCCCCACTCCTGCGAACAGAGAGAACAAACTACAGCCAAACTATTGCTTAAGGGAGCGTCTGAAAAGTGCACAACCTGTACAAGTTTGAAGGTTTACATTTTAACACGTCAAAGGTTGCAGTGGCTGTAGTGGTTGTTTAGGGTGATTGTCAGATTAGTACAGATGACATTTTACATAGATGTCTAATACCAGGGGTACAGTGACTAATTTAAAAATCAATATTATTACTAAAAAATCAACAAAACAACACTGAAACATTTTAAAGTTTGTAATAGGTACCTAGGGGGATGACTCAGTTACACACTTAAAACTTATGGTTCTTTAAGGGTTCTTTAGTAAAGAAAATGGTTTTATGTATAAGCATGTACTCTTAAAGAACGCTTTGCATGATTAAAAGGTTCTTTGCATCATGAAAGGGTTCTACAGATTGATGGGGAATGTGGTGTAGATGGTTCTATATAGAACCCTTAAAGAACCATCTGCCGTGTGTAACAGATTACAACAGCTTCCTTGTGTATTGCTGTTTGAAACTTGTGATGTTGTACATCACAATTAAAATTATTTAATAGATTAGTCTGCAAACAAATAGTTAATCAGCTCCTTTTTGGGACTCAAGGAAATAACCCAATATACCAACAACAACAACAAAAATAATGATAATAATGATAATAATAATAATAATAATAATAATAATAATAATAATCATAACACACGATAACTTCTTGATCTTTACTTGAATTAATTCAACTTCTTTGTAAACTACTCCGTCTTCTCTCGGACTGTCAAACGATCATGACTTTGAAGAATAAGATAATCACTAATTATTAGCCTACGTAACAGTCGAACACTTGTAGAGTGTGATTACGTCACAGCGTCCATTAAAACGTTCCAGTTCTATTTTATTCCGCACGGTGGCGCCAAAGTGCCAGTAAAACACATTACGGCGGTCCAGGCCCGTGCAAACAGTTTTTCATGTGCTTTCTTCATTCTTCAGCTGGCTACACGATTATTAATTCACTTGGGATAAAACGAGAACAATGCCTTGCACGTGCTTGTTCGTTTATTTATAGTAGCCTATATTTCATTTTTTTCAGTAAAACATCTGCTGTTTGCAGCCTATTCTGCAGAGTCTTTCTCTTATTCTACATGCTATTCCACATAGTGTTGTCAATATCAAAGTGCTGACTGTATCAAAGCGTATTGTTCCTCTAATGATTAAGCGAAGTGCTTGTCAAATGTGACGGGATTTGCTACCGTATTTAGAAATAAAATACAGAAAAGAAATGTTCGACATCTAGTGACAAACAGTAAATTACTCTTCGACAGAGGATAAAATTGCTTTAACATTGGTTGGAAATCACTTTATCAATCAGAATGGCAGTGAGACGTCGCAGACAAAGAGATCTACCACTCAGACCTTTAGCCCCGCCCTCCACAGCTCAGAGTCGATGGTGATTGGATAGCGCCGGTTAATGCCCTCCCGTCTATTGGCGGACTAGTTTGTCAGCGACTGTGGTCCGTCTTTCCAGAGGGAACGCTGTACGCACAGTTCATAACTGGACAGTAACGCATTAAAAGTGAATGTACTGTGGGGATTAATGAGAAAACATCGGAACGTATGAAGGTGAGTAAAGTGATTTCTGTCCACCGTTGGAAGTGTATGGTCGCTGCTGGGACATGAGAGGAAAGCGGAGAGAGAGAGAAGAGAGCGGAGAGCGAGCGTGGTGTTGAGTCCCGTAGATCATTACTGCGAATAGATAATCATGATATTGTAACTACCTACAACTTTTCGCTAATATCCACCTGATTCCTCAGTTTTACAGCATAAATGTGAGTTTATCTTGTACGTCCATATATGCATTATGGGACTGTATCTTTACCTACATGTGATAGACTCAGATAAGCACATGGGCACTAATGACAGAGGCTTGTAAAGTTGTTACCACTAATTGCTTATCATTAGTATTCAGCAGTAAATCTGAAGCACTTGATGGCCTATATATCTTGTAGTGCAGTTTGTAGCTACCCATGGGGCTTATCAGTAGACCAGAGGGCTGGAACATCACCCCGAGCACAGATTTGATGTAAAATGTGTCCCTAAGGAGTGTAAATACATATGTAGCCTACTGATAAGCTCTGATTATGTATTAGTGTGATTTAACCTTCTGTTTGTATACCCAGTAAAATATTTAATGTCTTAGTTCCTTTTTGTTCTTACTTTTGCACAGGTCATGAGCAGGCCATCATTTATAATGCACAGGCATGTGGTGTATGAAGTACTGTGTGCACATTAATAGACACTTTTTAACTGTACCTCTAGATATTAAAAAGTTGACAGATTAGGACACGTGAAATTATTCTGGAAAAATCCTTTGTGATCTTTCTTTCATTTTTAGTGTCTTTAATAATTTGTTTTTCATTTGTTCTGATTTGATGTGCTGATAGCGTTTGGCTTGTCGCGTTGTGTGAAGTTCAAGAATGCAGTCAGGGCTGTAAGGGCGCTTTCAGACTGCAGGGACTCAGTGTGAAGGCTGTGTCTGAATCACTCAGAGAGAAGTGCACTCTGTGCCGCTGCTGCAGGACAGCCTCACTATCTTTTTTAAGTGACACACAACAGAACATGAAAATTATATTCCATCCACACAATTATTGTCTTTTTGTTTACTGACTTTGAGGAATTGTGTTGATGTAATATGTTGTATTCATGTTCATTCAATCAATTAAATTCACTTTTCTTTAGTGTGGATTGAGATTGAGTGTATGTAGAGGTGTGCGATATGACTAAAATAGAATACTGCGATACTTCAGGACATTTTCATGATATACAGTATGTCATGATATTTATTTTTTGTCTGTTTAGTTGGAACAGAGAAAAAAGAGCCAGTAGTGCTGTGTTTTAAAAAATACTATCAAAAACTATAAACGCAATGATTTTGCAGTCAGTATTTGGCATACAATGTTGCACTAAATCCAGTTAAACTGGACTAATTTTGCTCTCTTTATAATGAAACATGCAGTTGGCCAGTGTTCCACAAGCACTGACGATATCAACAGTATGTTCTGAAAATAGATTGTATTGTATTGTGACATAATTTACCACAATAACAAGATATATCCCGTCATATTGCCCACCCGTATTTATATGACCATTTCCCCTGGATTTATGTGGACGTGATGGGAGGTTAAAAGGTCAGGACTGGGCATTTAGGGTTTGTGTAACAGTAATTAGACAGCTCTTTGTGCTCACAGGGAAGGAGCTGTCATATTAAAACCTCTTTTCTGGGTTTTTATTTTTTTTACAACCCTTGACAATGGTCAGCTGCTCATTACGTTATATGAACATTTCATGATGAATGGGCCAGCTAAAGTTTATTGCGATAGACATCTTGTTATATTAGGGGATCTGAGTATGCTGATGTTTATCTTTATTGTGATAAATTACATCACATTACGTCACAATACGCTTTTCTGAGCATAATCTAGATATCATCAATACTTAAATAACAGCAACCCTCCTGGATGTTTTATTACATGGGAGAGCATAAACAAAGACCTACTATTATATCTAATATCTAATGTTTATGTATCGCATGCGTACAAGAAAAATATTGTTTATTAGCATCGGCCCACAGTTCCAATATCGGTGAATCCTTAGTCTTGAAGTATCGTGATATTCTATTTTTGCCATATTGCCCATCCCTATGTTATATTAACATACATTACAGTTAAGAACCGTTTAAACTTGTTCTACGTTTTGTTACGACAGCGACGTTATATGAATTCTGCAACTGTCATGTATAATGGACTGTTGGGTGACTGTTCTGAGACCACTGTGTATGTGTTTTAAATATACAGTTCCAGGTTGTAAAAGTTAGTGAGCTGAGGAAAACAAGTCAGTGGTCAATTGCAGGCCGCTTCCAAGGCTGTACATTATAGAGTGTAGAGAGATTTTGTTAATATTTGATGTCTGTGGTGGGGTGTGAATTCCTGAGATTCCTGTAAGTATCTGTAACCCATATACTGTTACCCTCTCACTCTCACCCCCCACCCATCATGCTGGGTCCCATTGTCTTGTCTCTGTATGGTAATCTTTCATATGTGACATACAAGCATGTTCAGCATCTCCTCCATAAAATGGTTCGTGTTCACCTTTGCTTTACAGGAGGTGCTCATTGGATTAGTCAGTGAACTGAAAGCTGTGGTTTGTGGTTGTGGGTTGACACTCTTTGGCCTGCACACCAGAGAGGGAGGTTTATGGTGTTTTTGTTTTGCTTCTCATTTTTTCGCAAGATGTTTAAATTTGATCAGTACTTCAAACCAAAATTTAATGATGTATTCATTTTACTCCAGAAAGTAGAATGTATAGACAGTTCTGTATCAGTATTGGCATCGGCAGATATGCACATAATAAACATAAACATAAAAATACTGGATATTGGCTACCAGTGCCCATATCTGTGCATTACTAGTTAAAGTACAAAAATAAAGAGTAAAGAATAAAGAGAATTTACGTTCAACTGAACAGTGTGAACTGGTAGAATATAAGCTAATTCAGCCAGTTCCTCAGAGCCACAGTCTCATGACCCAGCATCAGCAGGAACAGCAAAATCCCTATGAGCTTCTGGCACGATGTTGGTTCATTAATTAATAATTACATTCTGCAGTGGGTGTCTCAGTCTGGCTACCAGACTGCATGGAGTGTAGAGTGTAATTAGCCTCAGCTGCCCTGCCATTGTATCGCTTTGATTCACAGCATCACTAAACAAGCTTAAGCCCTGCCTATTGGGAGAGGAGAGGCAATTTCAATTTCAAATATTGGCTCATGTAACACAGGCGTGACCAAAAGCAGACAGTTGGACATTTGGGCTGTGTCTGATGTGTGGGTGTGTGTGCATGTGTGTACGGGTTCACGGCCATAATTATTACATAATCGCCATTAGTACCTACATGTCATATGTTTACAATGCAACAAACAGAATGTACACTGGTTGCATTTTCATGTATATAAAATAAAGTGGAAAATGCATTTATTTAAGAGACCTTAGGGGTGAAAGATTTGGGGAAAATATCTAATCATAATTTTTTCTGACTAATATTGTGATTGTGATACTATTATTTTGTAAGATCCAGGCCTGTTTTTTGTGAGCTTAGTGTGCCAGACTAAGTTATAGTTGTGATGTCACAATACATGGAGCTTTGGTTGGATCTGATTGGTCTAATTTATTTACAGGCAGTTCACAAGCTCTGTGGTATTAGGTTAAATATCCTTACTTAAAACTTAAGGCAACCTTTTTGATAATGTAGAGCATAATTTAAATAAAATTGCAGCTTTTGCAGTTTGAAAATTGCACTCTCTGAAATTGCAATTTCAGTATAAAAACCATTAATCCTTCAGCCATACATGGGTCTTAGGAAAACAGCAACAGTTCTAACTTCTGACTTGTGTTATAGCACATTTGAGCTTGAGCTGTGTCGATTGTAAGTTGAGAGTTACTAAGTATTGGCATATAGCTAATCAGCCCATTTGGTCATTTTAGGTATGTGCTTTAATATGATGACCAAAAAAGACAAACTATTAATTGCAATTGCTTCAGTTATCCGCAAGCTACAATTTCATGGTCATAACCTGCCTATGTGACACTGCTGATCACGATTGGGTACATGAAGAATTACTGGTGTTGTTGCACAGTTTAGACCTTCTGCTAATAGGGCTGGGTATTGGCAGCAACTTTAAAATATGATTTTCAATAGTAGTGTCACAATACAGTAGGTTAACAGGCATGATGACTGTAGGCAGATAATTGTAAAGATGCACAGATATGGACCAATGCCAGTATCCAATACTTTTTAGATTCATATCTGCCTAGTGGTGTAGGTTTCATTTCAGCTTTTGGGGGATGCACTTCTCATTAGGAATATGTATTAAACGCTTATTCAACGTGCAAAACATTCTTACCTTGATTCAAACTACTATGATTATATTTAGGCAAATTTGCTGAACTATCAGTCGCTCAGTCACCAGAAATATTCACAATTGTAATACAGCATCTTAGCAGGGTTGTAACTGGCTCCTTTATTAACTTCATTAACATGAATTTTTATGTAACACTGTACAATCAGTGATGTCCAAGTAGAAACTTGGATATCACTTAGAGAGAGAAGCACTGTGACAAGGCTTGAATGGCATCTTACCTACTTCAACAACTCAACATTTTAACGTTGGCATTACCAATCAGGTGGACAACAGAGCTGAAAACCGAACTCTCCTGTCCAAAACTGGACACCTGGCAACCCTAGTTGAACATACATAGGTGTCACATAGACACAGCAGTATGAATTTAGATGTAGAAGCTTTTTTGTAGGTTAAATGAAGTAAATAAATCTGCTAGACATTTTAAATTAGCTAGCTAGATGTCACTAACAAAATAAGCTTTTAGTCCAGGGGAGAACTACAGCCTGTGGTAGTCTTATAGTATCACAGTTTACATTGCATTTAAAACACCTTGACAATCTTGAATATCAGAAGAGTGGAGCTGAGTCTGCTACAGTAAAGGAACATAAAATATACTTCATTTCCCATGAGTCTGTGTACAGGGATGTAAAAATGTGGTGGAAAATATGGAC